GTGTTTAAAATTGGCTATACGAGGTGGATTTTCAAAGTAACACAGAGGGATTTAATCCCTTGATTCCCATTACTTGAGTCAGAGCTGTGAGTCTAAATCCCCTTGTAGCCGACCCCAAATTCACCCCCTGCTGCCTCAAGAGTGCCAATTAAATAAAATAAAAACCAAAACCGTGGTCAGATGTAATTCGTTTGAGAACAGAGTTTTATCATTTTCCTCATGCCAAGCAAACAAATGGACCCGTCTGATGACAGATACAGAAGAATTCGGTTTGGACAAAGAGAACACAAATCTCAAGTCTGAACATTGCTTGTGCTGTCAGGAAGCTGTAATATTGAAAAACTGTGCTCTTCTGGGAATGGGAAGACAAGGAAATAAAACTCTGGCTCCAATTTGTTGGAAATGCAGTTTATGTTGTTGTTGTTGTTTTCACTTTCATAAAAAAAAAAAGTCTTTCAAGACTCCACTTGACCCAGGTTTCATCGAAAATGCGTTACTTCTTAAAAATAGGATTCTGATGGGAACAGGCTTCAGCTGAGCAGTAGGCAAAACTGCATAAGGGAAAGACAGTTCTTGAAAGACTATTGGGCGTTTCTCAGCCCAAACCACCTCTGAAAGAGTATTAAGCTCAGTGGCCTCTGGAGCAAGCAAAGCCAAGGACCCCGTCCAGGTCATCTTTGGGATGAGGCGGTCTCCATGGTGACCGGAGCTAGGGTTCTGCTGTCGTATTTGAATCTAAGGATATAGGCTGGGTAAAGTGAAGTAACTGTTTTGTTTCTGTGGCTGTTTCTGCTTCTTTGTTTAGTTTAGTTTGGGGAGAAGGGGAATGAAAAAGGAGGGAGAGAAGAGAAAAAAAAATGAGGTTAACAGAAAACGCTCCCACATCGGGGGGGGATACATCACGGAAAGCCACTGGTCTAATATGTCTATCTTCGTTAGTTCAAACTTCTCTCATTTCACTCAACCAAATATTGCCAGCATTATTACACCATGTTGGTTAGAGTTGGAAAAACCAGGTAGACACAAGTCAGGGAGTTAACTTCTGTCACTATGGAATGATGAGTCAAACAGTGTCCCAGGGCTACTGGTTGGACAGGCATCAGTAAAGTCATCAAAATAAACCCCTCAAGCTTCCTATGCAGTGTTTTCTGGGACAATGGGGGTGTGTTCTCACTAATGCGTGTGCGTTTGTATTCTCACACATGCATGTGCGTGTGTAAATATGCTGGGAAATGGGAAAGACAAATAGTAAACTATACTTACAATAAAGAAAAACATACTTTTTACCCCCATGAAAAATATCAGACTTATTAATGATAATCTGTGGAAGCTCCATTTAAAAATTTTATGAAACAACAAGGTCCATTCTAAGGAGATTATGAAATGGGGACCAGAATGCTTATTTGAATATGTTTTTGATTCTGAAGTTTCCTTGTAAAAATACTCACAGAAATTGGTGGACATTTTTTTTTTTTTTTACATACAACTTGATGCCTCTCATTTATAACATAAATCATTTAATGTAACATTTGCAACCTTAGAAAGGCAGACATAGTTAATCCAAGTCAGTTTATAAATTCCAATTTCACATGGATTAAAAACTGCAGATAAATTAAGTCACAATAATATCCTGTACATGCATTAAGGCTGGTGACTGCTAGAGTGTCTTGGGTATCTACAGACAGGAAATCACACACAGATTACTGGGTCTGAAGAGTGTCTACATCATTTAAAAAAATCTTGCTTTTTCTTTTTCTTTTTTTTTTTTTTTGGTGATACAGATTTCAACAGTAACTCTGGAAAACTGTGAAAAATGTTATTTAAAAATATATATGTATATACTACTGCACAGTTTCAAAGGTGTGGTTCATCAATAAGGTTGGCTGCACTGATTAATTTGATAACAATTACTGCACTTCTGAGGTGATCTGAACACGTAGTGACTTATACTCAATATTAGGCACTAGTCATATCCTTCAGGCGTACTACAGTTTTATGTTGGCTGTATTGTACATATATATTTTTAAACGTATGCATTTATACAAACTGTGTATTATGTATGGGATGTCAGAAATGTACACATCACTGTTATATAATACACACATCACTGTTGCACATACGAGGGTACGTTTTAGTGCAGAAGACTCATTGCATTGATTCCATGTGTTCCGTCTAGTACACAATTTGTCAACTCTTCAGACTTGCTTTTCCAGTACATTCCTCTTTAGACAGTGGGTCCGAGTTTCCCTTTGTGATTTCAAAGTTTCCAGCAATGTGTTTTAACTGAACCTCTCTTTCCAAGCACAATTCTGCACATTAGTCTGATCTGTGTCGAATGGTAACAAATCCCACATTTTGATCAGGAATATATGTGGGTTCGTTCCTCTCTTGCAAAGATAACTCTAACAATTGTGATCCAGGTCCGTTCAGGTCATGGAGGGATGAGGCCAGTTGAACTTGTACTGAACTTCTGATGAAATAATGTCTTCGAATAGAAAAAAAAGGATGATAGACAGTCTACGTTCAAATGGGAGACTCTCTAGAAGGATATACAGGAAAAGGATGAGCAGTGTTGTCTCTGGGGAATGGGACTGAATACTTCCTACTTTACACTTCTCTGTATTGTTCAAGTTTCTACCATGAGCATGTATTACTTTCATAACCAGAAAACACAAGAAAGATATTTCTACTTTGAACAAAGCTAACTAAAAGAAACCAGCAACAATCAGAAGATGTTTCCTTATCAAAAGCATCAATGCCAAAGCAAGGAAAAACCACTGCCACCACTGCCCCCAACATGCTCTACCAATGAAACAAAAGACACTGAGAATGGCGTGCTGTGACGGCCCCCAAATGACCAGTTTCACGTTTTGTTGGAAACGCGGCTCACCGAGTGCTGATGTGGTGCTGCTTGCACAACTAGCCAGAGGTCACCTATGTGTTTAAATGGGTTTCACAGGTGAGCACATCACGTGAACACCACCACGAGGCCTGAGACTGAAAGGTGGGGAAGACCAGAAAAGCACCCCAGGGATGCACCATGGACCCTGGGGGCCATCCCTTTACGTGAGAGTCTGAACATTTCATCAGAATTCAGCGGGAGTGAGTACAACTAAGCCTCAGTCTCCAGGAAAAAAAAAAAAAAATTCAAAATTTCTTAAGTTAGACTCCAGGGGGATTGGGAACTCTAGCAACAATTAGTGAAAGGAATGTCAGAAGCACCTCAGTTGAATAAATGTAAAAAAGAAGATGCACAAAGCCTTCACTTGTTCATTTAAATGAATTTCAAATCACCAAAGCTATCCAATCATTTGAAAGGTTTTAAATCAGTGCTTAGAGCTAGGGGATGACAGCAATCTTATTTCCCACCTACAGATCAGGCTGACAAAGATATTAACATTGCAACCAAACCAATAAGACCATCAGTATCTGTTATAAACGCTTTGTGTTACCATCACCTTGAAAAATGGATTGTTCCACATATCACATCACCTTTCTCAGGCCGTCTTGGGGCAATTTTGTCAAGTGAGAGGCCTCAAGGTCATTGTTTTTGTTTTTAAAGTATAGGAAGTATATCCTCTTTTCCAGGAGTTTTTCTTTTTTTTTTTTAACCAATATTTTTATATCCAAATATATTGAATAAGAAGACCAAATCTAGGGTATGACGAGAGACAATAAGAGAAATAAATTTCAGACAAAAACTGTAAACAAAGATGTCAAAAAAACTAAAATGTAAACTTAGTTAAAAAGAAAAAAAGAAAAGAATCAAGGGCAAGACGCAGACATACCAGACTGGTCGTTGCTACCCCAGACAGGACTGCCATCCTTGCAGGAATAACGTATTCTGTAGAGTAAGCAGCTTGCTAATCAAAGCCTGAAACACATCGCCCAGATCAAAATGCATTCAAGGCCTGCAGTGGCACTTTCTCCAAGAGTGAGAGGATTAGATAGAATCATGATAGCAAATAGTTTTTGGCCTGAGAAGCAACAGATACAGACCCGAGTGAACGGACATCCTACGTAATGTCCTCATCTGGCCAAGAAAACTGGTAAGAAAGCTATCATGGAAAGAAAACACTTGAAAAATATCGGCCGACAGACACCATGTGGCTCCACAGCCCCTGGGTCACAGTGGCAGGAAGAAGAAACACATGTGCCGGGCGGGCTCCTGGCGTGCACAGACGATCTCAATTACTCACTGAACCCCCAAAAGCAGCTGTTGCTGCTTTCATGTTGGTGAATTTTCAAAGACACTGAAGTTTTACCAAATCTCAGTGTCATGGTCATACTATTTTGCGGGGCAGGGCAGGGAAGGCCCGTGGGAGTCAATTCACTTGCTTTCTAACACGTTGACAGTAAAGTTGGCTGGAGGGGGCAGGTACTAGACAAAAGGCAGGGTATTTGGTAACATGCAATCTAGTAAAGTCCAGCACAAAAATAACTGACTTATTTTCATTATTCAATTACCCATTAATACACACAATCAAAAAAATAATAATTGGGGGAGAGTATATTAATACTGAAAGTAATCAAAAGTATAAGAACTAAGATGATCTTAACTGGCAGTCAAGCTTTTGGTGTGCTGTATTGCACCTGGTTCACTAACCCATGAGATTTTCGTTGAATGTTCTAAGAAGTCATGGTTTAGCTTTGAACTAGAAAGTGTGTGTGTGTGTGTATGTGTGTGTGTGTGTGTGTGTGTAAGTGTGTTTTCTCTAATCAGAAACGTCTGATCACTTTGTCTAGCCTGGGATTATGGAAACTAGACAAAGAAAACGTGTTCTAAAGAGCTGTGTATCTCACACACTTACACAGGCAGCTTCTCTACACCCACACATACAAACACACATGCCCTGGGAGAAAAGACCATTGTTCGATGCTGAGAAAATATTCACCGCCGTCTGAGAAATGCTGTGGCTGGGAACTTCAGGAGCACAGTGTCCAGAAATGTTGAGCCGTCCGTGAAGACAAGAGTGCCCTCCAGCCCGAAGGCGGGGCCCCTATGTCAGGTGGGTGCTGTTCCGCAGCCAGTGCAGGCCTTGCTGGGAATACTGGACCAGGTGCTCCATGCTGCTGTGCAGGGTGACTGGCCCCATGAGCAGGTCCAGGTCATTGAAGAATTCTAGGGGACAGAGAGGGTCGTTAGAGGGACACGCACTTGGTCCTCTTTATAAATCAAGCCTTCTCTGTCCCATCACTTGACATGAGCTCAATCTAACAAAATAAAGCCCCCCAGAGCTCACCTATATCCCAATAATCCCTCAACTGGCGACTTCTAATTCAAACGAGTGACATTTACATTATTGAATTTAATGGATGCTGTGTGTTTTACATGTCATTTTGTCACTGTTCTGTAAGTACACTGATTTTAATAGATTTATCTCTTCATGTTTAAAATATATACTTGTATACAGACAGAGGGGAAAAATATGTATGTATTTTACTGAAATAATTCTGAATAAACAAAGGAAACATGGCAAAACCCAACCCAACCCAACCCAACCCAAATGAATGGCATTTGTTTAGCCAGAGAGCAAAGAAAATGTGCTTCCTCAGGCTGCATTCTCCTTGTGCAGTAATGTGTCCCACCCTGAACTTGGCCTGCAGCTCTGTCATCCCTTACACTGTGCTCAGCTGTGCTACCGTGCTGAGCCCCTGTCGGGGGAGGGTGGGAGTCCGATGGAGGAGGCTCCAGGCTCTTGGAGACAAATCAGAGATGGGTTTTTCTTTTAAATTTTATATTTATTTATTTGGCTGCACCGTGCGGCATGCGGGATCTTAGTTCCCTGACCAGGGATTAAACCCGTGCCCCCTACAGTGGAAGCACGGAGTCTTAACCGCTGGACTGCCAGGGAAGTCCCTCTCTCTTTTTTTTTTTTTTTTTTGGAGCATCCAGCTTGTTTAAATTGTCTTTTATTTTACTGAAGCATAGTTGATTTACCATGTCGTGTCAGTTTCAGGATTCAGTTATACATATTCAGTTATATATCTATTCTTTTTCAGATTCTTTCCCCTTATAGGTTATTACAAAATATTGAGTACAGTTAGTTCCCTGTGCTATACTGTACGTCCTTGTTCACAGATGGGTTCCGAAACACCTCTACTGAGGTCACCTTCTAGTCCTTGGACATTCTCTGGGTTTGTCCTTTCCTTAAACATTTATTACCGCCAAGGCACTACGCTAGGTGCAGGAGGGCAGAGGCAGGGAGTACACCGAGATGAAGAATGTGTAGGCTCTGCCATCGCAGAGATCACGGTTTGGTGGCTCATAGAGATGAATCAATTCATGTGGCTGCCAGGCTGCCCTAACTGGACCACTGAACAGCACTCCTTGAAAGTAACAAGCTGGGAGTATTCTTTCAAAGGTGCTCTTGTACGTGCTGAATGAGGTCCTGCTGGGGAGGCTCCGAGAAGAGCCAGGGTCCAGGTGGCCGGGAGGACAGTGTGGCAGGAGGTCAGGAGAGGAACAGGGGAGAAGGGGCAGGTCTGGGGAAGCCGTGCAGACTTTGCACTCGATGTGCAGCTCTGCTGAGGGACGGCTGGCAGCAGCTGGCAGTGCCATCTGGAGCCTGGCCTGCTCAGGCTCTCCCAAACTGGCCGCGGCCATTTGTACATTTGTCCCTTCTGTTTCATCCACCTGTGACACATCCACCCCACTCCATCTCAGCCACTCAACTACTGTCTGCTTTTCAAAACCCTGTTCCGTGCCAGCTTCTTTGGCGAGCCTGCTGGCCTCAGCCCCTGGCACTGACCTCCTCGGCACCCCACTGGATTTTCAGGGTGCATCACCGCCGCACTACTGTCACGTCCTGTCTGGTTTCATTATCAATTTCACGTACTCAGGCCTATCTGTGCCACTGGTTCCTGATCTCATCATGGACATCCTGATCTTAGCCTCAGAGGCACATGTTACCATGGGAACAAAATTTGCATTTAATGGCTTGATAGTGAGCTCAGATTTACACTCTCACCCAGCACTGGAGAAAGAGCAGTAAATTGGTATAACCTTACGGAAGAAAGTGAATAATATACCAATACATATCTTAAAAGAATCTATACCTGTTGACCTCCACATTCTACTGCTACAACTCCCTCCTATGACAGTAATCAGAAATATGAACGACGATTGACATGAGGATATTTATCGTAACGTTATTTGTAACAGTGGGAAAAACTGGAAGTAACACAAATGTCCAACAACAGGGGAATGGTTTGAGAAATCATGATACTTATGATTGCATACCTCTATTTTGAAAGTATTAGAGAGTCATCATAAAAGGTGTTTCTGAATGAGTTAGTGACATGAGAAAATGCCTGATATAATGTAAAATGAAGAAAAGACAGGATGTAAAACTGTATATATACTATGATCTTATTTTGGTAAAAATGCATATTTGGAGAAAATGAGAAGCAATTTCAAAAGGTTTTTTTTTTTTCAATAGAATGTTAATAGTAGTTATTTCTTAGTGACAAGATTACGGATGATCAAAAAATTTTTTTCTCTATTGTTTTTTTGTACTTTACAAATTTAGCCACGGTAAACATGCATTCCTTTTGTAATCAGTAAAAACAAACATTATTTTAAAAGAAATACAGCTTACCCATCAAACACGTTTTTTTTCAGTTGTAAGCAGCTATCACTTCAATAGCTAGCAATATTCATACTCATCAGTTAATTAATTCATCCAGTATTTCAGATCCCCAACTGTGTTCTAGGCAGTATGCAGGTCTTAGGAATACAGAGTTGAAAAAAACGTAATCCCTACCTTTAAGGAGCTCACTGTCCGAAGGAAAAAAACATGTGTGTGTGTTTATCTATATAATTTGTGTCTGTATCATTGGTACCTATATCATCTCTATCTCCATCTCTATCTCTGATCTTTCCCACAGTAAAGATAAAGGTAGGTAAAGGCACAGGAGGCCCTGAGTGTGGGGGAGAAGTCAGGCAAAGTTCACACAGTAGGTGACAGCTTCTACCATTTCTTTTTTTCTTTTTTTTTTTTTTTTGCGGTACGCGGGCCTCTCACTGTTGTGGCCTCTCCCGTTGCGGAGCACAGGCTCCGGACGCGCAGGCTCAGCGGCCACGGCACACGGGCCCAGCCGCTCCGCGGCACATGGGATCCTCCCAGACCGGGGCACGAACCCGCGTCCCCTGCATCGGCAGGCGGACTCCCAACCACTGCGCCACCAGGGAAGCCCAGCATCTACTATTTCTTCTTCGCCCGCTGATGCCCAAGGATCAGGGTGTCCCCCTGAGCTGTGGCTGAACTACGCACACGCTCCCCAGAGGCACACACACCTCTGTTCTCCTTGGCCAGGTTGTCCGCCATCTCCCAGTAGTCATAGCTGTGGAGAATGCTGTTGGTGATGCTGACATGGTTGGCTGCCATCTGGTGGATGCGTTGTGGGATGCTGACGATGGTTGATGGGGACAGGGCGTTCCCATTGGAGAGGCTCCCCTGAGATCCCACGGAGCTGGTGGGGGAGGGGTTGGGAGACATGGGGGATGGGGTGCCAGTGCTCCTGGAAGGGGAGAGCATAGGAAAACAGGTGGAGAGGTTGGTAGGGCAGCCCCTCAGGGCACTGTAAGCAGAGAAGCACCTTACCCAGCGTCATGCAACACCTCATTTATCACCTTCACTTTGGAAAAATGAACTTACTTTCCACTGGCCCCCCATGGAGATGGGGCTTGGGCAGCTTTAGATGAATTCTGCAGGAAAATAAAAACATTGACAGTGAGTACCATCTGCTTGAGTTTAAACAGCCCACAACAACATGTTCTCAGGTGACCGCTGAGAGAAGTAATGGCTGACGTTGTAGATAAAATGCAGATTCACAGAAACTGGATCTGGGGAGTTTTTAATTACCAGGCTATTGGCTTCCTCTCTGGCAGATAGTGGGAGGCAGCTGCCCCCTCCCAATGACACAATGAGAATGTCTTATTTTGCAGAAACTGTTGACATATATTTAATGCCTGAAAATATATGAGACATGAACTGTTACCATTTTTTTTTTTTTTTTTTTGCGGTACGCGGGCCTCTCACTGTTGTGGCCTCTCCCGTTGCAGGGCACAGGCTCCGGACGCGCAGGCTCAGCAGCCATGGCCCACATCCCAGCTGCTCCGCGGCATGTGGGATCCTCCTGGACCGGGGCACGAACCCGCGTCCCCTGCATCGGCAGGCGGACTCTCAACCACTGCGCCACCAGGGAAGCCCAACTGTTACCATTTTAACTTATGAAGCTTAAAAGTATTTCTCTTAAAGGAAGTTGCTCTTGAATGTTTCTAAAAGAACAGATTAAAATGTATTTCCTTAACAATAGTGAATTCAAAAATTCTGATTTATTTAAAATTCTGATATAGGATATGTTGCATGAGCCAGTTGTTTGCATCAGGCATTTAAAAGACATTTTTGCCTTTGGCAAAGAAAGCTTCTAAATGTACAGATAGATTTCCTCCCTGAGAGCCCAATAATGCTTTCTTGGACATAAGTCTATGAGACTGTTAAGGAGAAAATGGACTTTATAATATTGAATTTTCCCTTCCAGAGACAAGAAAATAGCCTCAGCCTGGTTCCCCAGAGACAAAGTGTTTCTTTTGGTTAAAAAGAACTTTATGAAGTAGTGACTGATTTTTAGTTTTTAGTGGAGGTGTTATCAAAATGGTAAGAAATGGCCTTACATGTGGGAATTTGGCAAAATCGCCTTCAGGCCTCTTCCCCTACCACTAAAGTCCTGTGACTATAAGAAAAACATGGGTGGGGACAAAGGCCTTTTATTCAGAGCCAGCTGTACTGATAAAACTCATTTTTTATGGACCAATTATCACTGTTTCCTAAAGGTTTCATAATCTCTGAACTTTAAGTAGTATTTAAATAGCCTTTGATTTAGGGTATCTACCAACACCTTCTGGGGGAAGCTCTGATATTTAATTTGTATTCTCTGTTCATTCTGTACAGTTTCATGGACTGCCTACAGACATTAAGAACATCTTGGATCCCTTAATAGTTCTGCTGTAACCTCTGTGGCTTACAGAGTTCAGATTCCTTCTTTATTCAAGCGTTTTGCTTGACTGTAATAACTCTCTTTAGTATTAGCTCTTAGATTCTAAATTTTTGAAAACTACTTATCTTGACCTTAGGCACCCAAAGTAAAGGGAAAGGCTTAGTGTCAGTACTTGTCATTATGACTGACGACCGTCAATGGACCAAGACAGTGGCTTAGCTCCTGGTCACTGCATGCATGACCAGGAAGGAGACAGTATGCTGGGTGGACATCGCCCACGGAATGCCCAGCACAGCCGGCTCATCAGAGATCATCTCCAAGAAGTGGAGGTTGGGGATTAAAGATCGAAAATGATGGTTGTGTATCTGACAAACAGCCGGTGGAGGTAGAAATGGCATAATTTCTTGTTTCTACGGTCAAATGGGCAGTGAAGAGGCCCAGAAATCTCAGAGGAATTATTCACAACAGTACATCAGAGGTTTTCTGGTCTTTTTTCCCCCCTTTTTCCATTCTCCCAGTGAAAATGACTTCATTCCCTGAGATAGGTAAAAGTTAGCACGGTTTGCAATTCTATCCTTATGCGTGCACACTGCTACTGTTCTAGTGCCTCTGGGTTCTAACAAGTCATTTCTTAGCATTTAAAATAACACCTTTATGAAAAATTAAATTAGCTACTGGAGATATAGCTAAGAGGAACTTCTAAGGAATTACTTCTCAGAGGAAGATGCTCTAAGTGAACATGAGCAATTTATGTTATAGCTATAAAGATGGATTTGCTAGGACACTGGGATAGGTAACGGGATCTTCTTTCTTTAGAGGCTATAAAAATACTTGGATACAGGCAGAGGGATAAATTAGATGGGCTCTCAAGGCCATCCTCTGAGCCCTGAACACCACGAGTATGTCATAAATGAGGTTCGTGTGGATATCAGCTCCTGTATTATCCCCAAAGCAATGGATTCTACCCTGAAAATGTCCTTGACAGGGAGACAACTGGGTACAAGATGTTGCCTGTTAGCCAGACAGTACCTTGAAATAGTCGATAAGTGCTTTTGAATACTTTACAGCATGATCCCTTTTGAGTCGAAACATCCGCCAGTACAGGAGAGCCAGGCATCGGTAACTGCAGCAGAAAAAGAGAAATAGTCCCCGAAAGTATGAGTGGGCCCTGTGCTAACAAGACTTAAAAACAATCTTGCTGTTCCAGGTACACTCAAGGTCTATAGCACGGTAGGCACATGACCTTCGTATTTGTTCAATGTAACTCAAAATTTCAAGGAGTTACTCCACAAGTATATCACTTCATATAAAGAAATATGAATAAATGAAGGATATATATAATTAAGAATATAAATATGAAGACATAAAGCAGCTTTACTGCTTCTTTGTTGGGACTGAGGGGCTTGTCATTTTCTTCTTCCACCACTAGGAGACAGTCTCTCTCCATGAGAGGAGGGAGGAGGCTCTAGCACACAGCTCTCACTGCTTGCTGGGTGAATTTCAGGGCACAACTACCTTATTCTGATTTGCCTTGACACCCTGGACTTCCCGCAGCAGCTTTGCTAAAAGAATAGCCAGCCCTTCCACCTGTTTTTATTCCCTTCACTACCACTGTACTGGACTATAATTAGTTCAAATAAAGTAATGGATATAAATGTATTTTATAAAAACCATACTGGGAGTAGTCACTATTTTATGTTACAGTTTATATATATGTTATTTACATACTAGCATTCTATTTTATATAATATTAACTAATCACTGTTAATTTATTAATCCTAATAAGGAACTTAAAGTTTGAAAAGGGCACAGAAAGCATTTCCTGAGCCATACCTACTTTTTTTTTTTAACATCTTTATTGGAGTATAGTTGCTTTACAATGTTCTGTTAGTTTCTGCTGTACAACAAAGTGAATCAGCTATACTTATACATATATCCCCATATCCCCTCCCTCTTGCACCTCCCTCCCACCCTCCCTATCCTACCCCTCTAGGTGGTCACAAAGTACCGAGTTGATCTCCCTGTGCTATGCGGCTGCTTCCCACTAGCTAGCTATTTTACATTTGGTAGCGTATATATGTCCATGCCTCTCTCTCACTTCGTCCCAGCTTCCCCTTCCCCCTCCCCGTGTCCTCACCATATCCACTTTTCCTTGGTGCTTTCCACTCCTAATTATTTGCTAACTCAGATCTGGTGCTGACATACTAGAATACCAACATACCAAATACAACTTAATAGTCTCTTAAATTTTTTTTTTCAATTTTAATTTTTCAATTTATTTTAATACAAGTTTTAAAGGTTACTTTCCATTTACAGCTATTACAAAATATTGGCTGTATTCCCTGTGTTGTACAATACACCCTTGACCAAGAGTCTCTTCTTAGCACACCAAACTCCAGAGGACGTGATGTTGCAAAACTAATGTTTTCTCTTTTGTGTATGTTGTTGTTGTTGCTGTTATATTATTTTGAGATTCGATTCTCCAACTTGCAGATCAGGTTCTAAAGTGGAGTATGAACCATCAGAGAAAAAGACACTTTGGCCCCCCATCACAGGAGGAACCAACAGAGAGGTGTCCTGTGATTTGAGGCAGTACTAAGGAGATGTCAAGGGGAAAATTATTATTATAATCATTATAATCGTCATCATTATAGAAAAAAAACCTATTACGTGCTGATTAACATTTAAATATTGCTTTTATTATCAAAGTGGAATGAACTGCTCCTCAGTTTAATGTGTTGAGAACTTGAATACATCATCTTGATTCAGTTCTACTAATCCCACATGTAAAGAGACAGATGAATTATCTTGATTGCCTCTAAAATGTTAAACACAAGAGATTACATTTGGCGCAATTCACATTCAAGTGATTAAAACACAGACTTACCTGATTTTAAGATACACACACACACACACACACACACACACAGAAAAATGGGTCCTTGTGTCATGGACCTGTTGGTTTTCAATCACTGTGAATTCACATAATGCATAGGACAGCAGGGTGCAGGCTCTCCCTGGCCACCACGAGAACTGCCTTTGGTTTGGTGTGTCAGAAGCGGTAGGAAACCATCGTGCATTTCAGCACCTGGTTTGCCAGTGAAGATGTACGAGGCTGGGGAGGCTATTTTAATCTGATGTGATGCACTTACCATAATGCAGCCAGCTGTTTATCCTCTGGTGTGGCATTGGGGCCTGAGTGGGTTTTTAGTCTCATAGCATACCTTAAAAAAAAAGGAAAGAAAAACCAAAAATTAAAGCTTTCTTATTAACAATAGGACATCTTCTAGGATGGAAGTTCTCTCTGCCCAATACTTAGTTTTTCATAGTGCATGCTGACATTTCTTTCTTAGAAGCCAGCTGAGGCTGCCCCATTTTCTCTAAGCATGACGTGATTGTGATGACTAGAACAAAATGGCTTTTATGACCATCTAGCAACTTTCTGCTCTTTAACAATACAAGCCCAAATGCTACAGATGGTCAAGAGTGGTACCAGTTCAAGCATTATCCACGTATATGGTGACACACCCATTTTTACAAATTCTGATTTATGGCTGAGTGGCTGACAAGATGGGACCAAAGGTCAATCCTTCCAGGCCAATCTCCAGAAAAATTTTTATTCCTTGTACTCAGATGAATGCTTGGATTTATTCCTTTTTTTTTTTTTACTGTTATGGAACTCTTACTTTGACGGTAGTATAACTGTCCTGGATGCATTAACTAGTAGATTTTATGAACTTTATTCAATCTCACTTATTTCTCTGAACCAGAGGTCTATGGCTGTTCCTTTCTCCAATAATATACCAAGTTACTTGCAGACTCTTGGAGAGAGCTGAGGCAGTATATGGAATGGTCAGGGAGTCCTGGGTTCAAGTCCTTACAGTTGTGAGAACTTAGACAAATTAACAGCTTTAAGCCTCCATTTCCTTATTTATAAAGTAAGATGAGTACTGAGGATCCCATAGCATTGCTGTAAGGATTAAATGAGAGAGTGTTTGTAAAGTTCTTGGCATAGTGGGCTGGCTTATTGCAAAGTGCTCAAGAAATGACACTGTTATTACACTATCTCCACAGCATGCAGACTTGTAGTGGTTTTTTTTTTTTTAATTTATTTATTTTTGGCTGTGTTGGGTCTTCGTTGCAGTGCGTGGGCTTCTCATCGGGTGGCTTCTCTTGTTGCGGAGCACGGGCTCTAGGCATGCGGGCTTCAGTAGTTGTGGCTCGCAGGCTCTAGAGCGCAGGCTCAGTAGTTGTGGCACACGGGCTTAGTTACTCTGCTGCATGTGGGATCTTCCCAGACCAGGGCTTGAAGCTGTGTCTCCTGCATTGGCCGGTGGATTCTTAATTACCACGCCACCAGGGAAGTCCCGTGTAGTGTTTCTGAGTGTCTCTCTTTGCTTAGTTTTCATAGTGGTTTCTCCAGGTATTACAAGATACATATGTGACTCATCACAATTTATTGGTATCAATATTTTCTACTTTGCTTGAAGAGTTGAAACCTTACTTCCATGTCACTGCTTTTAAATAACATTGTCTTGAGCAACACATGGTGGTATAATTTTTGTTTCAATCACCAACTATGATTTTATAAAACTCATGAGGAGGATAGTTTATTGCATGTACTCATAGTTCTGCTCTTACGTTGTTTTTCCTTCCCTCCTGTTGGTCCAAGATTCCTTCTTTTGTCACTTCCTTTCTGTTTGAGAAACTTCCTTTAGCCAACCTTTAAAGGTAGGTCTGTTAGAAACAAAGTCTTTTCGTTTTCCTTAGTCTGAGAATGTTTTTATTTCCTCTTTATTCCTGAAGAATGAAATCTCACTGAATCTAGAGTTCACAGTTTTTTTCTTTCAGCATTTAAAAAATGTTGTGCCACTCCCTTCCGGCTTCCATGGTTTCAGATAAGAAGTCAGCTGTTATCTGAATTGGTGTCCCCCTATGGGTAATGTGTCATTCCTCTCTCATTGCTTTCAGGATTTTTTTTTTCCTTTGTTTTTAGTTTTCAGAAATGTAGTTTTGATGTGTCTTGGCATGCATTGCTTTGGCTGTTTATGCTGTTTGGGTTTTTCTCCACTTCTTGAATCTGTAGGTTTATGTCTTTTGCCAAATTTAGCAAGTTTCAGCCATTACTTCTTCAAAATATCTTTCAGTTCCATTCTCTCCCTCTCCTTCTGGGACTCCAATATTGACATGGAGGTTCTACTGTCATTGTGCTTGAAGCTCTATCCACTTTTTTTTTTTCAGTCTGTTTTCTCTCTGTTGCTCCGATTGGGGAGTAAATTCTATTTTCTCAAGTTCATTGAGTCTATCCTCTGTCATCTCTACTCTACTACTGAGCCCCTCCAATGAGATTTTTATTTGTTATATTTCTCAGTTCTTTAATTTCCATTTGGTTCTTTTTCAAAACAACTTCTATTTCTTTGATGAGGCTTTCATTTTTTGTTTGTTTCAAGAGAATTTGTAATTTTTTGTTGAAGCATTTTTATGATGGCTGCTTTAAAATCCTTGTCAGATAATTCCAACATCTGATTCATCCTGGTTATTGGTATCAACTGATTGTCTTTTCTCATCTCAGTTGTGTTTTTCTTGTTTCTTGGTATGATGAATGAGTTTCTATTGTATCTTGGACATCTTGGCTATTATGTTAGGAGACACCTGGGTCCTGTTTAAATCTTTTCTTTTAAAAGCAAGTCACCCTGTTTAGGTTTAGCATGCAAGTCATAACCTACTTCTGTGGGCTGTGGTTCCATTTACAATTTAATTTTCAGAGGTTTTGTGGTGCAATTTTGATCTGTGGTGGCAGGGTTCCACCCGTCAGTGTCCCCCAGTCACTTGGTGTCCTTTGGTGGAGAAAGGAATTCTCTTGCCTACTGGGACAAAGAGCTCATCCTAAGCTGGGTACCTGTGGCACGATCCTCCTTGGGGGTGCTCCCAGCTCCCGAGTGTCTCTCAGTGGGGGAGGGGAATCTCAAACCTGGTGGGCAACATGCAGATTCAAGTGGTATATTAATGCTGTTTTCTAACTCAGATAAGAAAAACTCTTTTTTATCTTAGTTTTTGGAGTAGCTTAAGGGATTCTATTCAATCATCTAGAAAATGCATTGTGTTTTCCACCCACGCAAGGTCCCATCTCTGGTGTAGAGCGGGTGTGCACATCAGCAGCTCCAGTTTATTTGACATCAGGCTTTTATCATTGTTTGGATTTATTTGTTTGTTTTTTAAAGTTTGAATGCCTTTAGGCAGGCTATGCAGTTCACCAGAGGCCCTGTGACTTGCTTATTTGTTCATTCCTCAAATATTCACTGAGTACATACTATGTTCTAAGATCTTTTCCAGGGGTTATGACCACATACACGAACAGATCAAACAAAAACCAAAAACATCCCTCTGTTTGAGGCACTCACATTCTAGAACACATTATGGCTTTGTGCCTGTCCACTTCCACCCATATTCTTCCATGCCTGCCTGTGGGCATCTGAGTCTGTGCCTTATTCTGAGGAAGAAATGTGAGAATCTAGGAATGGCAATTTCTTTTCTTCACTGCCCAAAATGCTGTACCATGTAAGAAAACGGTATGAAGGAATCACCAATACATTGGTGGAATAGAAATATTTTATTTATTTATTTATTTATTTATTTTGTGTGTGTGTGTTTTTTTTTTTTGCGGTACGCGGGCCTCTCACTGTTGTGGCCTCTTCCGTTGCGGAGCACAGGCTCCGGACGCGTAGGCCCAGCGGCCGTGGCTCACGGGCACAGCTGCTCCATGGCATGTGGCATCTTCCCGGACCGGGGCACGAACCCGTGTCCCCTGCATCGGCAGGCGGAGTCTCAACCACTGCGCCACCAGGGAAGCCCAATAGAAATATTTTAATAAGAAAAATGGTTGGAGAGTGTTAACTTTCAAGACATTCTTGAGAAGTACGTTTTGAAGATGATGTGTTCTTGATACTCTGGGATGACAAAGTCAAAGGCTGTCATCCTTTCCTATTTCCTGAAGGAGAATAGTGTAAAATACCAAGGAGCAAACCTGGGCCAATGCGTATCAAGAAGGTTAAATTTAGGATGACTAGAAATCTTCCATCTGGAATGGTGAGACATGGTAAACCACATTTACTCTTAAGTTGCCTAGAATTCCAGAATTCAGAACAGTCTCTTAAAGTTAGTTTGGGGAAGGATTATTTCACATAATGGGTATTAGACATTATCCCAAGCAGCTGAACCAGCTAAAGACATAAAACATATGACGAAGGTTCCCAGTAGTGTTAATGGATGAAATTCCCTTCATGGTTCATTAAAGAGACATTAAGGATGTGCCTTTCCATGTTGCCATCATGGAAGACAAAGAGTCTCCCACCCAAGTCCTTGCTGTGCCCCAGTCAGAAACCCTGCTTCTGCGCATACTACAGGTCTTAACCCAGGCCGGGGCATGGCGCTCACGTCCAAGTCTTAGACCAGAACAGCACCAGCACCTCTTCAGATAGTGCATCTCGTAGGATGGATTTCCTTTCCTAAAATCCCTTTGAATCTTCTTTCCTTTCGTTAAATACTGAATCATTTACCAATGAAGTTAGGATTTAGATTATATGAATCTGGATCAGATTAAAAAAAAAAAAAAGCAGCGTGGAGATGTAGTGAATTCAAATTCTGCCACTTCCCAGCTGGGTGAAGTCAGTGGGGTTAGAGGAGCTGCCGCCACCCACTCCGGCACTCACACAGAGAGCGAAGGAGGCAGGCTCTGCAAAAACGTCTTGCAAGATTGTCCACTCTTATTTGGGGGATGAACATTGGTTCTTGGTAGCTGACAGTGCAGGCTGACATTCTTTTCTGTGTTCACAGCACTTATATACATTCTTCCTTCCACCCCCCAACCCCTGCCCCCAAGCGAGAAAACGCAGCGCTTACCTGATGAGCTCAACTGTTTCTGAGTACATTGTATAAGGAGATTTGGATTCCATTGGGCCCTGCTCCATTGCATTTCCACACTCAATGAATGACAAGGCTGCTTCAGCATAGTTCAGAGCCTTTCCAAACTTTTCCACCTGATCAAGAGAGTTAATACAGTGTCTTCCTTAGGAATAGTTTTTCAAACAGCATTGTCACATAATCTATACACTTTGAGAAACCCGACTTTGAAGTTCCAAACTCCTGTGAATGGAGCTGACAGAAGAGAGAAATAGGGTAATACCTTCTCTAGGTATTTTGCTACTGGTTTAGGGTAAGTGAGTAAATGGTTATACAGAATTATACCAAATCCACAACTGCCAATCAGAATTGTGCAGAACTTCACGGTTGCTTTAATTTCTGTTGCTCTCTTTCCAACTCCTAATGGTTTGTCAGCTTTGCTCCTTGGTCCTCACTGCTGTGCTAAATATATATCTACGTTCATAGGCCTGACTCCACGCAATAGTTTTCACACTTTTGGGGTATACTCTCACTTTGATGGTTTAAGGCCTTCCTTACTACCTTTTACACTATTTGTGACATTTACATCTCCACGCCTTCCTTTAAGTATGTATTTTTTAGTTGTTTCGTTAGCAGTTAGAACGTCACCCTAAGCGTGAGGGTGAGGAGAGAAAGGGAGAGGAGGCGGAGCTCAAGGCATGATTTCAGCTTGAAGGACACAACGTTGAAAATTAATTTAAAAAAGACCTTTTGGGATTATAGGAGGTCCCTAAATTTATGTTAATCTTTACCCATATCAGTGAGGATAACCAAGAATCAGCTTTACGTTCTTAGGTTCTCATAAATCTAAACGTACACATCAGGTTCGTGCATGGTTCCGTGCATTCTTCCTCTCGGTGGATCATGACACATTCTAAATCTGAATTGCATCATCTCCGCAGTTTTCAAACATTTCTTCATCAATCAAAACAGAATTACACAGATACTCTTAACTACTGATCTAAGTCTTGCCTCTTAAAAAACCTCTCATTATTCATGACACCTCAGGAAAGGGAAGTGTAGAGCAGAACTCTCCCGCATTAGCAAGTCAAAATTTTAAACAGCTTATAACCCTAAGAGGCTACAGAGCAATATTTCTTGGCAGTGCTTTCAGATTAAAGAAGTCATTTCTTTCAATAAGTATTTGCTAAAGCACCTGATTCTGTGTGGTCTGTACTTGACACACAAAAGCTCCTTCCAGGAACATATATTTGGAGAGAAAAAATGTGCACTCACAAGATAGCTCAAAGTGCAAGGTAGTCTGTGATTAACTAACCGAATGCAAAGCAAGGAGTCCAATGCCAAAGAGAGGGCAGGAAGGGAGCAAGTGATGAGGCTACAGGGAGGCTGGGGAGGAAACTGGGAAGGAACAGTATGATCTGGCTGAATTTGGGGAGGACACTGAAGGTGTGGGCGTGCGTGCGAGTGAGAGTGTGAGTGTGAGGCTCTGCAGGTGCAAAGACCTGCCAGCTGGCACGAGTCAGGTGTGCTTAGAGGCGGCAGGGGGCCAACATGGCTGGAGCAGAGTATCGCTGGGAAAGGCCAGGTTGGGCAAGATGACACTGACTGAGGAAGCCTGGTAAACACTGGATGATTCAGGCAGGAAATTTCATTCTGCTTTAAAATTCAATGTGACCATGCATCGGTTCCTTCGGGTGACCAGAACTCTCCATCAGACTGTGGGACTGTGATGACAGAAACTCTACCTCCTATTTCCCTTCTGTATTTTCTGACACCCCGTGGTTATTTCTCTGTACACCAGTGGACCTAGGCAGTTAGCTTCATATAAATGCATGCTTGGTGGGCAAAATCAGTAGCATTGGGGGGTGGGGGTACAGTTATGGCTTAGGCATCTTCAACCCTGGAATAATACTCTGAAGGTCATTGGAAATGCCTTATTCACCTCCAGCGCCCTGATTTCACTTATGAGCACTGGAGGGGAGCAGAACTAGAATTACTAGATAGGAAAGACTCCCTTTGGATGAGATCTTCTGACAGAACAACCATATGATCTCTTATAGAAAAAACCAGAAGTGTTCTAACTCTTGCCTGAAGGCTTTAAGCTTTCTCAAATAAATTATCCAAGTCAGAAAAGTTACTCTCTGAAAACATCAAATCATACAACTTCAGGGTCTTATGTGCAGTGAAATAGTTTCTGGATTGTCCAGATTCATAGGAAAAATTCATTCTGGCAGGTACATATGAAGAACACAAGTCTTTCTGAAAAGGGATTTGATCCTGGGACCAAGCCAAGCGTTGGCCAGGCCAACAAGGGAGAAATATGCAAACTTGGGTGTTTTCCTTTTAAGGAAAAAAACTATTACCACCCACTGACTCCACTGCTTCTGGTTCCTATTCAAACTTTAGGTATAAACTGAAATATTAGTTTATCCAGGGCTTCCTCCCAGTCAGACATTATTGGTTGAGGTCATAATTTATTCGGCGATGAGCACGGGATTATATAAACACTTCTGCCTTTAACAGACCCAGCCATCCTTGTAATAGATTTTATAATGACCCTAGCTATGCTGCCCCAGTGATGAAGCTGTGGTACAAACGTCATTTGGAGGAACGGATCTGGAGAGAAAAGGTCTTACCATTGCATCTGCTTTATGCTTCATTCGCTTAGCTTCTTGCATAAAATAATCTGCACTGCGTGGCCTACGAGGAGAGGGTGATATGAAACATCATTACCGTGCAAGTGCAACAAGATCTTTTGAAAATATTCTTTCCTTTGCTCACACTTGAAGCACAATTTCAAGACTCCTCTTAAGACGGAATCAAGTATTTTTCTTTTCTTTTGCATTTCCAAACTACTATAGCCTATATGTAAAAGACTACTATTATATTTCTCTTAAGTTAGCAATCTAAAGCACACTCAATATATGCAAATAAATATATACATTTACAGTGATTTTTAACATGGATCCCCAGTACCTAATTTGCGAATCAGATTTTTTATTGCACGGTTAAGAAAACAAGTGCAAAATCTTATTTCACAGGTTATTTACACAAAACAATCCCTTTTTAATGTAAAGATGGCAAAGGTATCGCATAATAATTGTATGGATCTGTACAGGTGAGTATATTTCTGTACCCTTATGAAAATCAGTGTTGTTTGTATGCATAAATGGTACCCAAAGTTGCTTGTATCTCTATATCTAATTATTTTAAAGCTTTGCAATGAAAAATGAAAAGAGGTGCTGCTGTATGATTACACTCCAGTTGTAATAAAGTTAATTGTAAAATGATGTCTTCCTTGTCACAATGCAAACATGGCATGTATTCTCTCTAGTTCTGATTAACTGGCTGGTAAACATTAACACCAGACATGGGCATTATTAAAACAATAACCCTGGCCAGCGCTGACTCTGCTGGGAGATGAAGGGAATTCATCCAGAGATGGATCTGAGTGTGTGACATGACCCCAAGTCACACTAAACTACTCATCAGACAGTAACTTTAAATGCTTCATTGGATAGATTTTTTAAAATCTACATACTTCAGGTACCATCAGCATAAACTTGTTTTGCATTATGGGTCTTTATATAATCAGTAAACTTGACCTATTCATGTACACACCATAAGCCGGGACCCCCTGAATGGGAGATAAGATGTAAGTAGTAATATTAATCATGAACTGTTTAACCTATTTAACAGACTTATTTTGAACTGCCTTCTTTCAGCTAAGGGGTCTCTTCCCCAATGCAGTATTAGGTAGTCAGAGCATCCTTTTATCCTAAGGGGTCAAAAGGCTTAGAAAAATCACACATACCATGTCAATGACATTACCATCCAAAACTATAATCCTCAGTTGAATGGTTTTAATCAATCAATCAAACAAATAAACAAACCAGGATCAAAGCAAATACTTAATTTTGAGTCACAAATCCCAGAAGCAAGAAAAAGACCTTGGTTTTCTGTCTCTTCTTCCACCTAAAATATTGTCAGTACTGTGGTAACATGCTGGGAATTTTTAACTTTTCCAGCAAAGAAATGAGGAACATGGCTGCAGGATTTCCCTAATGTGCATATAATGAAACTCTATTTCTCGATCATGAGCCCTTCACCATTTTTCCTGCCACGCAGGCCTGGACTCTTTCCTTCATCATGATGGGTCTTCATCGGTGGCTGAGGCCTGAGGTTTCCTTCAAAGGAAGGCCCTGCTCTGACCGGCTCTTCTGGCTCTAGTTTATTTCCTCAACGTCCATGCTTCTTCCATTCGAATGGTGTTTTAGTTGACTTTCACCAAGGTTTATTCTCCTCTGTCCACATATTGACCTTTGAACACATACTGGCTATCTGTGGGGTCTTTGATGCCAACTGTGGCAATTTACATGACTTCTGTTCTTGTTTTTGTTGTTTAATGGACTGACTTAATTTTTCTGAGCAGCTGTAGGCTCAGAGCAAAATGAAGCGGAAAGTACGAAAAGTTCCTGTGTACCTCCTGCCTCTGCATGTGCACAACCTCCCTCACTGCCAACATCCCCACCAGAGCAGCACATTTGTTACAATCGATAAGCCGAAACTGACATATCATCATCACCCAAAGTCCACAGTTTACATTTGGGCTCACTCTTGGCGCTGCACATTCTGAGAGTTTTGAGAAATGTATAATGACACGTATCCACCATTATAGTGTCATACGGAAGAGTTTCATGCCTTAAAATTCCTCTACAATATCTTTCGTTTGTCCTTTTGCTGAACGCCCCAAAGCAGAAGACCAGACCTACCTCTGCCCAAACTCAGATCTGACTCCTGAGCTTCAGATGGGGTCCTGGAGCCTATTTGTTCAGGACAAGAGTTCCGGCATCTCCATCCATCTCTCCCCCACTGTTATCAAATGCTATGAATGCTCCCTTGTAAACATCCCTTTCTTTCCCCAATGACCATATCCACCAAGTCTAGGCTTTCATCACCTCACCTGGCCTCTAGTTTCACACCCATCCAATCCATTCTGAGCTTTAACCCTTGACCAATGTTTGTAAAACGTGGCTTTCATTATATCACCATCCTACTCACAGACCTAAAATCCATCTCCAGGGCCTATGAATTCCAATCGCAGTTCAGGCCTCCAATCATCTTGCCTAACCCTCTTTACCATACCACATACTCACCAAGTCCCTCAACCACAGCCAGAGAGGTGTCCTCACTGTCTGGTTGACATGCCATGGCTGTCTCAGAAGCTCTGCTCATCCTTTCCGTCCTTCCGTCCTCTCTGCCCATTCATTAAGTGCTTATGATGAGCCAGATGTTACCTGTCCCTCAAATTCTTAGGCCATAAGGCCTTCTTGCTAATTTTGGCCCATGATCAGCTATGTCTTTCCTGATCTCAGATACCACTTCCTGTTTACACTTCACTTCCAGGCATTTAATTACCTTCTGAGCTGTCCTGGGCTACAGTCACTGCATGTATGCAACTTTGCAGCTGGACCATTTTCAGCGGGGGCCCTGTTGTAGACCTCTTTGATCTTCCCCACCTTGTAGTTTTAGGTACATGGTAGAACCCCCGCCCCCATGCATTCATATTTTGAGTTTCAAAGAGAGGGAGACAGGGTTGACTTCTGATGGGGTGCAGCCTCGAAGGCAATGAGCCAGAGAACATCTCCATGGCAACCTGAAATTCTCCACATCATTATCTGTCCCACACGCCAGTATAGGAATTTGGTCATTTTTCTCTTGCCCTGTTTTTTGTAGACCTCGTCACTAACGGATCATCATTTTTTCAAATGCATTTCGTTTTCACAAACGAATTACTTTGGTAATAAGCAAAGGCATCTGTTAGCCTTCTTAGTTACCCCTGGGGTAGCAGTGGCACCTAATTCCTAATACGGGTACCTTAATCAATGCTGTTTTTATCTGCAGCATGTAAGTGTATTCTTTAAACCTGAGATGGAGGCTGAGTCACAAACTCTCACAATAGTGTAGGTGGATAAGTAACACATCTATTTTCTGACTACATCACAGCAGCTACAACATTAACCTGAGATGCTGAAGTAATGTACTATCAGGGCCTGTTTAGGATCACATAAGAATTCTCATCTTTGCATCTAATGGAGGGCTTATTACACTGAGTCACTGAAGATTGCTTGATGACTGGCCCATTTTTTTCCCTTTCAGGTGATTTCTAGAGCCACACTCCTAGATCAGATCATTATAAAGGCAATGGGATGATGGGATGTCACCCAGATTGTCCGGCAAGGCAGTGGACACGTGCTGTCATGAAGGCATCACTCCGATGGTGACTTTCAAGTCAGCAG